TTGTTTTTGTAATATTTTGAATGATATATATATATATATATATATATATATATATATATATATAATTTATTTTTAAGTTGATAATTATTATTTTAATGTATACATTAAGTTCATAATTATTATTTTAATGTATACAATAAATAAATAAATATATATATATATATAATAATAATTAATTTGAAATTAATATATGTAATTTTAATTTATGTTATATATATAATTTATTTAACATAAAAAATAGTTATTTTACTTATTAATTTTATAATTGTAAATTTTTTTAAAAGTTATAATTTTGAATATAATTTTTTTAACTCTATAATTATAATTTATATAATATATATAATTTATAAATATTTTTTTAAAATTTTAACTAGATATATATTTTTATTTGTAATTATTTAATGTATATTTTAAAAATTAATAGATTATAGTTGATTATTTGAAAAACTAATAGATTATACTCAATTTTTTGAAAAAGTAATCGATTATTTGAAATATTAATCGATCATAATTGAATAATTATAAATTAATTAATTAATTGTTTAAATACTTTTTCAAATTTATATTAAGTAATATATATATATATATATATATATATATATATATATAATTTTATAATGTTGTATATAAAATTTATAATTTTAAAAAGAATTATGTATTTATTAGATTAATAATATATTTAGAATTACGGTTGAAAGTAGTAAAATATAATTTTTATTTGTATGATTAAATTTTTTTAATTTTTTAATTTATTTGATATTGTAATATTTTTTTAGAAATTAATAATAAATTATGAGGAAAATAAATATAAAAAGAAATAATATTTTAATGTAAAATTAAAATAAATTATATTTTAAAATATATATATATATATATATATATATATATATATATATTAGTTAGTTTTTCTTTCTTATCCGAATAAAAAAAATCTATTTAGGATTCGATTGCTTATAAATCAAATTCTAAATCAATTACTTTTTTAATTACTCCATTATGATCGATTAAATTGTTCAATAATCGATTATATTTTCAAATAATTGACTTTAGATAGTGGTTATAGATTTAACGGCTATTAAAAATATATTTTATATAGCGGTTAACGTGGAACTGCTCCTATAGGTTCACTTTTAAGAGCTTAGCATGTGGAGCCGCTATTATATCTTCATTTTTAATAGCGGTTAACTGGAATCACTATTATATCTTCAGCTTTTAAGAGCTGTTAACATGGAACCGCTATTATATGTTCACTTTTAAGAGTCTTACATTGTTAACCGCTCTTAAAAGTGACACATATATGAATAATTAATTAGAATAAATTATAATAAATGTTAACCGCTCTTATAAATTAATTAATTAATTATATATATATATATATATATATATATATATGCATAAATTATAATAATAATTATCAACTTGAAAATAATTTATATTTAATATATATATATATATATATATATATATATTCTAAAATAGAATTTATTTTAATTTCTATAATATATATATATATATAAATGAAAATAAGTTATATTTTGGAATATATATTTTATATTATAGTATATTTTAGAATATATATATATATATATATATATATATATAATTTTACATCAAAATATTATTTCTTCTTATACACATATAATTTTTAAGATTTTTATTATCCTCCTAATTTATTATTAATTTCTAAAAAAATTATAATATCAAATAAATCAAAAAATTAAAAAAAGTTTAATCATACAAATAAATTTAACTATAATATTTAATAATATATTTTAAAAATATTATTTTACTACTTTCAACAATAAATCTAAATATATTATTAATTTTAGAAATATACAAATCTTTTTAAATACCTAATTTAAAACTATAAATGTTAAATAAAATATGATAACATATATATATATATATATATATATATATATATATTAGTTAGTTTTTTTTCTTAACAAAATAAAAAGAAAACTATTCAGAATTTGGTTGTCGAAAAATCGAATTCTAAATTGTTTGAAAAAATTATCAAATACAATTACGTTTAGGTTTCGTATTCCAGAAAATCGAATTCTCAACTTACAAAAAAATTGTGCTATCTAGGTAAATAAAACGTACAAGTATGCTATTTGAGTAAATAAAAAACGAATACGTGCTATCGTAGACAAAATTTCTCACCTTGTCACCTATCTCTCCTCGTGTGTGTGTATATATATATATATATATATGTATATATATATATATATATGTATATATATGTATATATATAACTAAATTTATTTTATTTGTAATAATTAAGTAATATTAAAAGTAAAGATATTAGAATAACAATAAAAACATATAATTAAAATTTTATTATTTAAAATAGTATGGATATGATACATGAAATATTTTAAGTTTGTGGATGATTAACTTATTTTATAAATAATTTTATTAATTTTTTTAAACAAATATTTCATATAACTAACAATTGCATTAAAGACTTCTATATAATTATTTAATATGAAAAATTAAACAGTTGCAGTAATAAGTTTTTTTATTTAATCAATTTATTTGATGTTACAATTAATGAAGGTGTATGGTAATCAAATTTTAGCAAATTAGTTAACAAGATATCTCGTGAACAATCTCAATCATATTAATGAATAATTTTTTTTCACATAAACTTTTCAATGTCTTGTTTGATGTAAATTAAAATTTATGATGTATCCATTAAATTATTGTTATCTAAGATTCAAATCAAAATATACCGTATATGATTTAAAATAAGATTCTTCCTATTAGCATATAAGTAACTACTATGATTATATCTTAAAATATAAGCATCTAAGATTTAATCCATATTATCCAAGGACAACCTTAGGATACATAGTATACTATTTAGGATATAATTTCTTTATACCATATATTGGTGCATGTTGTCCAAGATATCAGCAAAAAGTAACAATCACGATTGAATCCTCAAACATCAATAGTCGATATTTATTCTATATTGTCTTACATTAAGCTCAAGTTATCATTAAACCCACCTCACATGACATCTATAATTTTAAGTTTGCTCTCATCATATATTTGTGAACTTATCTTGTTTCTATTTATTTGTCCAACCTTTTCTTTAACTTTTTACTTTTAAAATGGAAAAATTTGGCAACACAAACATTGAAAATTTTGATAATGCTTATCTTGCAATAATAGATGCAAATAGTCAAATCACAACAAAAGAAGAAAGGATAAACTTTCATTATGCATCTTCTAATCTTTTCGAATTCCATACAACTGCACATTTATCACTTTAAAGGAAAAAATATGTAATTCTTCGTAGATTTCTTAGCACATCTTAGTCAACATGTTATATTATGATTAATCATAATCAAAACTACCATGTGATGATTTAATTATGTATGATGCTGAAATATTATTTGATATTAATGTATCTAATATGATTACTTGAAAATCACAATTTCTTTCCATACCATCATTGAATTATATGTTAAATATTAAAGATCAACGGATGAAATAATAATATTTCTAAACTCTCTTACTTCTACCTTTTTCACAAACCAAAACAACAACATCCTTTTATCTGAAGTTATAATTTACTTTGGTGGTTTTATCCAACATGCAATCATTATAAAAAATTCAAATAATTTTAATCTTACTTATACATGTTATGATACTCTAACACATGATCTTTTGTTCATCTATTTGAAAAGATTACTTAAGTATTTGGTTATAGAAACTATAAACAAGTAACCGAAATCAATGACTGACTTTAGATCGAATCCAAAATCAAAAGATTGTTCACAACTCAATACAAATTAAAGTCATCCATGTAGCTCAAACGATCCTCTAACAAAAAATGAAATAAATAGAAAGATAACTCAACACCCACACATGAACAAATATGCAAAAAGATAATTCACAACTTAAACAATAAGAAATATGGAATAATAAATTTTCATTTCACTAGAAAATTACAAATAATTTTTCAATTTTTCAAAATTATATACGTAACTATTATTTCAACTATATAAATTTAATCTATAATCTTTCAATATTTCTTTCATCAATTTAAATATCTACGATTTTAACAAAATATTTTTCCAATTCTATTTTATATTATATCAAAATTAAATACAATAATTTTTAATTAAAAAATATTAAATAAATACTTATATATTATATATAATATGTATTTAACAAAATTATATCATAATATATAAAAAAATATAAATATGTATTTATTTAATATATAAATATATCCTTATTAAATATATAAATATATAAAACATTATATATATATATATATATATATATATATATTTAATGTCAGGCGTGTAAAAAAATAAGCATCTTCCCCCTTAAAATTTCATGATAATCAAATTTTGAACTTGTACTGTAAACAGTCTACTTAAAGGTAAATAATGTTGGAATGAGGCCACTTCAGTAAAAAAATATTACTTTTATATTACTTAAAAAAAAAAATCAATAGCTAGTCTACCTGAAAAATAAAAACCAAAGATGCGTAAGTAACTGGGAACTAAGAAGTATATTTACACAAAATTATCTAACCATCTCAAATATTTTAATAATACAACCAAACACGTCCCATCAGACACCTACTGCATCGCATCGATAAGAAAGCCACATTACGTATTAACATCTCATGAGGATTAAAACAAGTCTCAGAAAAGCAGTGAAGAGTTGCACGTGATTGCATTAACATTAATGTTTAGAAATATATACAACTATTCACAGACAATGTAAGCATTTACAGATCGAGGAAGGGAGCGACATGACCGCAAACAGCTCAACTGTACCAGAACCCCATCGCCGTTCTAATATAAGACAAGAGTGTATTTACAATTAAAGCATTCAGAATCTGCAACAAAATAAAAGTTGTCAACGTTCATTAAAGCTGTCCAACGGAACTAAAAGACCAAAATATGGTTATGGATTGGGCTTAAATGATTCGGGCATAGAATTCTTTCACCGAACATTAATTTGTCATATCAAATAAGAGCCTCATCATACCTGTTATTCGTGTTTTTTCCCGCCCTAAGTTGATTAAGTTTGTCCCTGAACAAAGCTGGGATTGCATAAAAAAAAATGAGATGTGCAAATAAATAACATCAGAAGCGTACAATTAATACTGTTGTCAGTACGAGATGTAATATTACAAGACTTACATCATGATTCAATTCAGTGCATGTACAAAGGAAAAACCACTTATCTAGAGTACTGGATTCCTATAATATGTTAAGCTCTTCAAATGTATACAAAAGTAGGAAAAAAAAAAATGAAACCTATAAATGCTTACCAAATGCTTGTTCTGGAAATAATTGAAGTGGTCTCAAATATCCCAGTTTTCCTACTTTTAATGCAAGGAGCATATGGCATACATATTTGTTTAGATTAAAACTGATGATACCAAATGCTTACAGACTACATAATAGTGATGAGAAGAAAGAATTAGGAACCACTTATGTTACTAATTAGAAAAAGTCATGCTTTTAAGAATACTAACATGAAAGGTTCCTCAACCAAGAGGAAAACTGACAAGTTGATACCACTCCAACTAATAAGGACAAAAATATCAAACCAATACTATTGACTAGGACATGAAAGGCTGTCATCGATCACATACACCATCCAAAAATGCACTTTTGTCATGCATCATACTTTAAAAAGATAAACCTCAAAAACATTAAAACAAAAATCAATAGATTAAAGAAACAATAATAACAATGATTACCAGCATCCTTGTAGCGCTCTTCAACAACAGCTTTCAACATGTTGTGCAAAAGATTGAACTCCGTGGTTTCAACACAAGGTTGACCACTTGGCCTGCAGTTATATCACCTTTTAGTTAGAAGGTTCCTTTTCACAATGAAAAGTTCTGATGAAGAGACATATTCAAAGATTTTTATTTTATATAAATAGAAAAAGTATCAAGAACAAAAACTACACAACAAATATAGACAAGTCATCATATTGCCTTATAACAGTAAGTGTCTTTTTCACAACGTACCGGTCCATTTCAGTGAATAATCTGCCATCCATACCAGGAAACTGTGTTGACAATTTGCCTGATTCAATTACTCTCATACCATCACTGTATGCCAGGTACTTGTTGACTTGTATTGGAACCTACAGCAAGCATTAGTAAACTAATTATGACAAACCCTTGGATTTGACCTACAATCAAAACAATTCAATAGTGCCTCCACGGATATGAATAAGTACAGCTTTGAGTGGGGACTGTGATTAGGGACAGTTATGGCAGCTCTTAACAGAAAGTAAGATCAGTTACATATTAAACAGGTTTAATAGTAACTGTCAAATTATGATGTATTATTAGAATAAGTTGAATCATGTTGACAGTTTAAGATAGTAAGTTAGGAGCAGTTACATAATTGCGAACTAGGGGGACATGTGTGTATTTCCATTATAGTAATTTGGACAGAGAACTCACTGTAGGAGTCTATGACTCTGGAGCAACAAAATCTGCTGCACTTACAGTATTCTGTGATTTAATGTTACTTTAGGATTTGGCATTCAATGAAAACAATCCAACAGTGCATCCAAGGATATAAAAATTGTCTCCCGCCCTCACTTTCTCTAACATCAGAAAGGGAGGAGGAGGGGTGAACAACTACTGACCAAACATAAGAGAATGCTATATGATACAAGTGATTATGCATTCATAAACAGAGTTTACTACTATTACCTTGCATCTTACTGCAATATTGATAGCATCTGACGGCCGTAGATCAAAGCTCACAAAGTCTGCGGCATTTCCAACCTATACCAAATATAATTTAACTGTCATATAACATTTGGAGCATTTGTTCTATTGTTGAGTAGGGGGGAAGATGAAGAGTACAAAGTAAATGCCTTTGTAAGATATAACTGGGCAAAGTATGCCTCATGAACTCTCCGAGTAACTCTGACAAGTTTAACCTGTGGAAGCAGAAAATGACACAAGTGGATTCTTAATTTCATTGTGGAATTTAAAGAAATGAACACAATACAATCAGGATCAGAAGAAGTATAATGATAAACAGAATCGTACTTCATAACCCATCTTGTCAATCATCTCCTTTACTACTTGATACAAAGTAGGCCTGGCCTGATACAACAGCTAGACAATCAGTATTCATGAGTCATATTAAGTAAAAGCAAAATATTTTGGATCAATTATTTGATTAATTACACATCTTGGAAGAACGAGGGAAAGAAGAAGTATTCAGCTATGTGTGATGTAATTTAACTGACAAAGAGAACATACTATGGGAACATTGCGTATTGCTGCCATTAGCAAGACGCTCGGCATTTCCACTGCAAATAAAGGCATTCCAGAAATTTACAATGGTAGGATAAATGAAATTATCAAATCAAATAGCTATAGTAGTAAAAACATATAGTGAATATGAGAGACATACAAACAATTATAGGGAGAAGTAGACCAGTCCCATCTTCCATCTTCAATACAATAGCAGGATGTGGTGCATAATCTGGAAGATGTCCTCCCTGAGGATTGTTATGGATGCATCTTAAGTGTCTTCCGTCCCTCATTTTGATTATGAAACCATCTGCTCCACTCTTCACCTCAACTAGTCAACAAAATCACAGAACAAGTGTATTTCATAAGAGCCAAATGGGGAGGAGACACTGTTTGCCAGAGCTTCTTGCACTAGCATTGTAGACATTCAGTCAGCCCAAACCCATTGTATCACCAAAGACATCTAACCATGCTATCACCACACAATGCACTACATTGATAATATCAGCATATTGCAATATTGATCGTGCCAACTTGAAGCAAGTGGACAATTTAATGCATAATATAATAAATTTTTATTTTGGCCTAAATAATTTTTTTAGTCCTTATAATATAAGATTGTTATCATTTTAGTCCTCATAAGTCTCAATTTTTTTAATTTCATTTTAGTTCATATCCCAGTTGTTAAGTAATGATGCGACTAGCAGATATTAAGACAATAGGCCAAAAATTCCTAAATATCAGTTATTAAATTAAAATCTTGCAATATACGATATACCTGTACAAAAAATTTACAGTGTTATAAAGTCTGAAAGGAAACAAAATAGTTTACAATATCAAAGCATAAAAGAGAAATAAAGATCAAACCCAAAAACCAATCCTATATTATTAGGAATAAAAAAATAATTAAGCAATTTACTGATATAGAAGTTGTCATAGTCAAACCTACCAGCTTCAATCACACTAGAAGTAACATAGTCTTCATCTTTTTCATTGAAATTATCGGCGGTACTTCCGCTGTCATTGGAGGGTGAGTTTAAATTACAATGCACAGTCTTGGACTTTGGCGCGTTTATACGGCAAGAAAGAAAACCGGGTTTAGCCTTAACGCCACTGAGACCCCAAAATTCACTTCTAATGCGTCTAACATTCATTTTCACCGCCCCAATCATCGGAATGCTGCAGAACCCTACTTGCTTGGCACGGACAGAAGGGCACACAACTGGTCCTTGCACGGAATTCATTTTTCAAACCTATACAACGAATAAACTGCATCCATTAATTATATTGAATCAAGGATATAACCGAATTAGATTAATACGATTCTAAATTAGGGGAAATTAATTGCAATTACAAGAGCTGAACCGAACGGAACCGAGCTGATATTTCTTCAATGTAATTTTGTTCGTAACTTATCCAGCGATTAATGCAATTAACGATTATTAACCAAGTAAAGGGTTAGATTCAGACCTGGACGAGAAGATATGCAGGTATCTTAGGTCAACACAACACAACACAATCGCGATCGATCACTGCAACAAGTGTTGTTGGCGCTCGCGATTTTCTTCAACTGGATGGAAACAGAAACAATTGAGAAAGAACTATTAATTAATTAAATTAATAATTGACGATAGCGGATAAGATCGTGTGAACAATTTGCGAAGAAAAGGGGAAAACTGAACCAAAGGTAGGGGAAAATCGAAGCTGAGATAGATAAAGGAGATAGGAAGAAAGGAACGAAGAAGATAAGAGATTATTTGAGAAAAATGTTAAAGCAAAGAACTGAATCTATATATGGCGAGAGAGTGAAGGTGCAAATGACTTTTATACCCTCTCATCGGTTATTCACTTTCTACTTTTCTGCCATAAAATACTGTCTAAAGTGGTATTTTACAGGATAAAAAACTAACCTCCGGGTCTTAGAATGTTGGTGGGGTCGAGGGGGATTTTGCCTAAGTCCTCGTCCAGATTTGAAATTTTTTCTTGCTTTTTAATTACTAAAATAGCTGTAAGTTTTATTTACCTGGACAGGTCTGTTGACACACGAAACCTAATCGTAGTTATATATTATTTTATTTTTTTTAAACCATTTAAAATTTAGTTTTTCAGTAATCGAATTTTGAAATTTTTTTTATTTTGTTAAGAAAAAACTAACTAATATATATATATATATATATATATATATATATATAATATTATAATATTTTATTTAAAATTTATAATTTTAAATTATAATTTTAAAAAGATTTATATATTTCTTAAATTAATAATATATTTAAATTTATTATTGAAAATAGTAAAATAATACTTTGAAATATATTATTAAATATTATATTTATATTTTATTTGTATGGTTAATTTTTTTTAATTCTTTGATTTATTTGATATTGTAATATTTTTTAAAGAAATTAATAATTGTTAGACAAATGACATCTAGAGGGGTGAATAGATACACAAATTAAAATAGATGTCAAATTAAAAATTTATTTGTGAGTCAATAATTTGTTTGAACACGATAAAGCTAGAGTGATAATATAATAAGGAAAATAGAGAAAGATAAGGGAAAGAGAAGAGCACAAAATGATTTATACTAGTTTGGGTATAGTCAACCCTACATCCAGTTCTCAGTCAACTCTTAACACAAGAGTGACTCTCAATTCACTATCTTTCAAATTCAGTTTACAAATTACAATCAACTCAGCAGAAGAACCAGTAAAAAGTAAACTAATTAAAAATACAATCACCTCCTTAGAAACCCACTAAGGATGAACACCTCCCTATAATCCCACTAGGGATGAATACTTCCTCTGAACAAATCAAAGGATGAAAAACACCTCCTTAGAATCCCACTAAGGATGAACACCTCCCTAGAATCACACTAGGGATGAAAAACACCTCCTTTTCCACCAATACAAAAAGGATGAAGGTAATAAAAATAAAAACAGACACACTTGGGTAATGGAGACAACAAATTATAGAAGCCTGTAGAATGTCAATCTCCAAGAACAAGTGTGATTAACAATGAAAGCACGAAGACATTAGAGAAGATAGTTTTCTCAAAAGGTGTAAAATATCTCTCGTTGTCTTGCTCAAAATTCTTTTCTCAAAATTGATTGAATGTAAATTGTATTTTCGAATTTCAGTAATTGTGTGTTTTTTATTTTTCATCAAAACTTAATTAAATAGAAAAATAACATCAGAAAATGGTCGTTGAACATTAATAATATCATAGAGAAAATCAGAATGTATTAAAAAATATTTATTCTTTAAAACGGATATATTTTTCAAATTTGAATTGTCATAATTGATTATATTACCGGTATAATTAATTATGATAGAGAAAATTATTTTTCCATTTCTGATGCATCATAATTAATTATGACAAAGAAAAATCTCATGTTATGAATTTTATCACACTTGTGCTTTAGAGGTTTATGCATAATATTACTTCATCAACTTGTACCTCCATATCTAGTATTCTAAGACTCTATCTAGTCTTCAGGAATCATCTTGGGCTTGCTTGAATCATCATCTTTATAAAAAACATATCTTGGGCATGTAGGGAAATGTTTCACATTTTCACCAACGTCATAAATTCAGCTTGTCCTTAATTCATCTTGAATAATGTTGACTTGAATCATCATCAAAATCATCTTTTGGGAATGTAGGGACATTTCCATCAATCTCCCCTCGTTGCTTTCAATAATAAATTACTGAAGATAATAAAAAATCTTAAAATTTTAATCTATATAAGATGAAATAATATTTTGATGTAAAATTATATTTTTGAAATGTATTTTTTGTCTTGTGTTTTGTAATATTTTGAAATATATATATATATATATATATATATATATATATATTCAATATAATTTATTTTTAAGTTGATAATTATTATTTTAATTTTGCAATATATATATATAATTATAATTTATATAATATATATAATTTATTTAACATAAAAATAGTTATATTTTTATTAATTTTATAATATTTTTTTAAGGTTATAATTCTAAATATAATTTTTTTTAAATTTATAAATAATTCTTTTTTTAATTTTCATTTGATATATATTTTTATTTGTAATTATTTAATATATATTTAAATAAATAATAAATTATAATAATCGATTGTAGTTAATTATTTGAAAAAATAATTGATTGTTTGAAAAATTAATCGATCATGATTAAGTAATTAAAAAATTAATAATAATCGATTAATTTTTTAAATATACATTAAGTAAAACAAATATATATATATATATATATATATATATATAATATTATAATATTTTATTTAAAATTTAAAGTTTTAAATTATAATTTTGAAAGGATTTATATATTTATTAGATTAATAATATATTTAAATTTATTGTTGAAAGTAGTAAAATAATATTTTTAAAATATATTATTAAATATTATATTTATATTGTTTTTTTTTATGATTAAATTTTTTTTAATTCTTTGATTTATTTGATATTTTAATATTTTTATAAATTAATAATAAATTAGGAGGATAATAAAAATCTTAAAAATTATATATATAAGATGAAATAATATTTTGATATAAAATTATATTTTTGAAATGTCTTTTTTATGTGTTTTATAATATTTTGAAAAAATATATATATATATATATATATATATATATATATATATTTACTTTAAGAATGAAAATAAGTTATATTTTGGAATATATATATATATATATATTATAATTCTAAATATCATTTATTTATAAGTTGATAATTATTATTTTATTTTATAATATATATATATATATATATATATATATATATAATTATAATTTATTTAACATTAAAATAATTATATTTTTATTAATTTTATAATTATAATTTTTTTAAGGTTATAATTCTAAATATTTTTAGACAAATGACATCTAGAGGGGGTGAATAGATGCACAAATTTTAAAAGATGTCAAATTAAAAATTTATTTGTGAGTCAATAAGTTGTTTGAACACACATAAATCAGAAACAATAATATAATTAGGAAAAGAGAAAGAGATAAGATAAAGAGAAGAGTACACAATGATTTATACTGGTTTGGGTATAGTCAATCCTACATCCAATTCCCAGTCAACTCTTAACACAAGAGTGACTCCCAATTCACTATCTTTCAAATTTAGTTTACAATTTACAATTAACTCAGCAGAAGAACCAATAAAAAGTAAACTAATTAAAAAGACAATCACCTCCTTAGAAACCCACTAAGACCTACTAGGGATGAACACCTCTCTGAACAAATCAAATGATGAAAAATACCTCCTTAGAATCTCACTAAGGATGAACATCTCCCTAGAATCACACTAGGGATAAACACCTCCCTGAACAAATCAAAGGGATGAAAAACACCTCCTAAATCCACAAAGGATGAAGGAGTAAGATAAGAACTGTCACACCTGGGTAATGGAGACAACAAATTGTAGAAGCATCTAGAATGTCAATATCCAAGAACAAGTGTAATTAACAATGAAAGCACAGAAGACAGTAGAGAAGAGGATGTTTTTAAGGTGTAAAATATCTTTGTTGCCTTGCTCATAATTCTTTTCTCAAAACTGATTGAATATAATTTGTATTTTCGAATTCTGTAATTGTTTGTTTTTTATTTTTCATCAAAACTCAATTAAATAGAAAAATAGCATCAGAAAATAGTCGTTCGACATTAATATTTTCGTGAATAAAAATCAGGATATATTCAAAAACATTTATTCTTCAAAAACAAATATATTTTTCAAATTTTAATTGTCATAATTGATTATGTTAACAGTATAATCAATTATGACAGAGAAAATCATTTCTCCATTTCTGATGCATCATAATTGATTATGACAATTGAAAAATATCATGTTATGAATTTTAACACACAAATATATATATATATATATATATATATATATATATATTTTTTCAAATTTGAATTGTCATAATTGATTATGTTACCAAGTATAATCAATTATGATAGAGAATCTCCATTTCCGGTGCATCATAATTGATTATGACAAGTGAAAAATATCATGTTATGAATTTTATCACACTTGTGCTTTGGTGACTTATGCATAATATTACTTCATCAACTTGTACCTCCATATCTAATATTCTAAGACTCTATCTAGTCTTCAGGAATCATCTTGGGCTTGATTGAATCATCATTTTTATCAAAAGCATATATTGGACATGGAGGGAAATGTTTCACATTGTCACCAACGTCTTAAATTCAACTTGTC